TGACAATCTAAGCAGTCTAGAGCTGTGTGGGTTTTATCATAAAGATACAAAACGTGTCCTGGATGGTAGAAAAGCTGATAGTATCATCGTGACTCAGGAGATCTCATCGTCCTTGCAAGACTTTGTTTTTCATATTGTGTTGCCTGAAGTGGGGGGAACCCTATCAACTTCATTTATATTTTTATAACGTATTTGTGTATTTACATATTTATCTATTTTGGTATATATTTTTATGCTATAGTTGGGGGGGGGGGTTATAACATTTTTAATATGTTGTTGAACACCTGTGTAAAAGTTAGGTATTGATCATGGGTTTGAGGAAGAGCTTGGGAGGAAGGTCAGCTGGGCTAAAAAATTTCCACAGATGACATTTCTGCCTCAAGGGGACCTCTGATAAGAGTTTCTCCTCCGGAAGGTGGGAGAGCAGCTAAGGCAGGTCAAGGGAGGGAGGGATGAAGCCCTTTTGTTTCAGGGAGCGGCAGTGAAGGCTTCTGGAAGCAGGCTGGCGGGTTTGGGTGTACCCCCTGCAGCTGCGCTGGCCATCCCTCCTCTGCGCAGTGTGTCTGACAGAAGCTTTGGATGCTGTGGGCAGGCTTCTTGCGATGCGAACGTACAGCAAAACGAGCGGTAGATAAGGCAGTGAGGGGTTTAAGTCTTTGTGGGTTCTTGAGATGCCTGCGGGTAAGAAAAATAGCACAGAGGGAAACTGCCTGGCACTTCTCCCTGCTCCCCCTCCTCAGCACCATGTACAGCGCCAAATCTGTGCTGGAGGGTCTTCACAAGCAAAGACAAAAATACCCACCACGCTCCCACTTTCTGGCCCGATTAGGGTGTAGTTATTTCAGCCATTACTTCTTCAAAGGTAAGAACTGAAAAGTCAACCCCCCAACCTCCACCAACGCGCACTCGTGTGATAATAGGGCTAATAGCATGTTGCATAAGGTTGTTGTTTTGAAACTCTCAGATTGCAGTAGGGAAATCAATCTGCTGGTCTCTTGTGATGTGTGCTACCATCACTGATATTTTGACACTGTTAAGAAAAACTTAGAAGTTTGAGTTAGAAAGGAAAAATGAGTTGAAGTTATAAAGTCCCAAAGTCCCTGTACAAATCTGACCTTTTCTTGTTTAAAGGATCGGCTGCTTAAGTGTTTTCCTAAAAATGTTTTGGTTCATTGTGACAAAAGCAAGTGTATTTGCATTACCAGTTCTTAATTGCTTTCCAAGTAATTTCATTGTTTACACTAAAGGATTTATTGAAAACTACATGAGGTTATCAACACATCAAGGAGCTTTTGTTCTGTTCCAGTAACCTAAAAATCTGAGGGTTCATTGTGTAAGCTTCCTTTGTAATGTGGAACGTGTACTGGTCCCATGAAATCATTGTTAAAAGCAAACAACCAAAAGCATGTCTTTCTGCTCAGTTCTAGAGCACGAACCGAAAGCCACAGGTACTAACGATGAAGAGGAGGATGAGGGAGAACTGTTTGACTTTGACAGTGGAGATGAGATACCAGAGGCAGACAGGCAAGCCCTTATGCCACCTCCTCCTGATCCTGGAAATAGCATAGAGCACCAAGAGGCTAACGCCACAGGTAAGTCAGCCTGTTGGGCTGTGCCTCCGCTAGGCTAAATAATCAAGATTGATTATAGGATGCCTTTTCTTGACAATACAGTAAAAATACTTGTAAAAAGAGGTTTCCATGGAAATACCATACAAGTGTTTTGAACATTCCTGCATAGATTTGACAAGGCAAGTGGCCGTCACATGTAATTTCTGTGAGGTTTCCCATCCAAGTGTGACATCCAGTAGATTGGTTTCAGTCACAGTGCCATGCTACAGGAAAACTTTATGCCCTTGCAGCTCTAATGGAATGTGGATGGCTTGAGATAAACTGCTTTCACAGCTAAGCTTGCTGGTTACTGATCTTAAGATGATGTGCATAAAAATAAATGGAGTCAGAATGTGTGAATTTTGTTTATAAACAGGAGTCTTATTTTATTAAACATTAAAACATTTGTTCCAACACATGCAGATGTTCCCAGTGCTGGGGTGTAGTCTGGAAATCGTTGTATTCTGCTCAAATGGACAACAGCTGATTTTGCTGACTTTGATCCAATTTCCTTTTGTAAGTGGAGTCATTGTGCTCACGGCAATTAAAGATAGATAACTCTTCAGGTGACTATGCAGTTTGACAACCTGGAATTTAAACACCATCCTTCCCTGAAAATCTGTTGCTTGTTCACCCATTTGTGAAGTTGTTTTTACAGCTTTTGATCACTTGGGATGCAGTTCTGCAGCTCACTTCAGAGGGGCCTTTGGTTCTGCTGTACCTCAGCTTGTCTCAAGAAATACCAGGAACTTTGTGTAACAGAAAATAATTTATTTTCAAAGAGGAAAACTTGGGAAGTTATTTTCTTTCCCCTTAACAGAGCATTTTCAGGACTGTTCTTTCAGGGGTGTCCCTCCAGTGAACTTGTTCTCTCCTCATGGCTATTCCTAAAATGTTTCTTGTATTTGTATTTATAAGATCCAAATTTGTCTAGAATCCAGTTGTTAACCTTCAGGGTTTAAGGCTGTTTTCAGCCATGTGCTTATGACAAGCAAAAAAGGACCCTGGCTACTTGTCAGGAATCCTCCTATTCAGGATTTAGAATCCAGTTATTGTTTTTTCCATGGGTATCTTTGTAACCCAGCTTGTTTTGTTGTTGCCTTCCTCATCTGTAAAATGGGGAGGATAGCACTACCGTGTGGGAATTTTATGAGTCATAGATTGTAAGCGACTTGTATAGTAAGGGTCATATCAGTGTGTAGGATATTTGCAAAAAGCAATAGTAAGCAGCTTGAACAGGTATGAAAAATAAAACTTTTTGTTTGTTTGTTTAATTTTTCAGCTAAAGGGGCTGATAATTTAGAAAACAGCGAGAATCTACGAACATTGGAACCTGCTGTGGAAGGCACTCCAGCCAAAGTAAATCCCTACTCAGTCATAAATATTTCACCAGTCCAAGACAAGGATCTATCCTCATCACCAGAACCAAGTCCTCAAGATGAATGTGCAAGTCCGAACTTGTCCGGTGGATATTCTGTTCCTGTCCCCTGTGGCTATGCTGTGCCATCTAATTTACCTTTGATACTGCCAGCATACTCCAGTCCTGTCATAATACGCAGTGTTTCTGTAGATGAAGAAGGTACTGTATTTACACACCTTACTTTATTTGAAGGGGAATCCTTGTTTAATTTCAGGTGCCCGTGCTGTTTTGTAAATGCTTATGTAGCTCTCAGCCTGGACATCTGTGGGAGATTTTGTGTCAAAGTAGAAAAAGAACTCTATCCTGCAGTATGAACTAAAATTTCTTGTCAGACTTGGAAGAAAAATGTCAGTCTACTTTTAAAAAAAAGAAAAAAAAAATTCCTACGGGACTCTGCTTGCTGTACAAGGATTGAGATACCTGAGTAAAGATGCATAAGAAAAAACAAATGCACGCAGTCAGTTCTTTCTCAACCCTTCTTTAAGTTGGTGATGCTTGACCTTTGTTTTGCTGGCACTTTATTACAACATACAGTACTACAAGGGAGGACTCCTGTCTTATCTTGCCATTAAGAATGATTAATGCTAATCCCCTTTAATGTCATGAAATAATTTCCAGAGCCATAGTTCAGTGTTCAAGCCAAATGGTTTCTTCTCATACCTTATCATGCTTATCTATGCCCTGGCAGAGTTCCTGTCCCTTTTACCTTCTCTATATGCACTTCTGTTTGTTTGTTTGTTTATTTTCCAAGCCTTGTGAACTCAGAGTTGTTGTGGGATGTTTTCCTTGATGATTTGATGAATTCTGTTTGTCCTTTAGTACAATTTTAAGACAGAAGAGGAAACTTGAAAGGGAAATAACTATGGATGATTACAGAAACAGGAACAATCCCCGATTTTGTAACTAGAATTGGCAAAGCTGACAGCTTAAAGTCGAGAGAGCAGGAGGAACAGAAGGCTCCCCATATCTTGCCTTTTTTTGCTTTCTTGTGTTTTCAATATACTATTCTTTAGCTAGGCAGCAATTCTACTGTAATTTCATGTACTGTGATACCTTTTTTTGCAGCCTTTGCTGTCTACCACTATTAGGAATATTGGCAAGTAAAAGCAAATGTGTTTGTGGTTGTTATTGCCTGTAGAGGGATATATGTTTGCGAGATGAGAATTAAATGCATCAGACACTGTTATTTCCTCTTAACAGCTCTTATACCAAATTGCTGTGTCTCTGAATTCTTTCATTTGCAAAAATAGATAGTGTGAAGAAACTTACAAATTTTTTTAGATGTGTTTAAGAGTAAAAATATTGCAATGAACTAGTAAAATCAGTTTCTTGTGCTAAAACATACCATTTGAACCACACTGACATTTTATTGCAAGCATTTTGTTGATTATATATTTTTTTTTTTCTGCTTAGCAGGTACACAGTCAGCAACTGAAGAATGTCACTGTAATTCTGTAAATTCAGAGGAGCCTCAAAATAGGTGATTGCCAGTTCAGCATGTTTTAATGATCTGTAAAACCTTAATTCCTGAGAAGGCTTACATTTGATAAATCAAGTATTTTATTTTTCTTGTGCGACACGTCCATGTTTGTTTATTTTCATTTTCTTAACTCCATAACTCTGGTTGTGTACCAAAATCAGCACTGGTTGAAGTCTCATGTGTAGCCATGCATGACATTTTTGAAGGAACTAGGTTTAACTTTTATAGAGTCATAGCAATGTCAGCTGCAACAGGTTGCTCAAGATCGTGTCGTCTAGCCTGCTGCTTTCAGCCGGACCACCGCCCACACTCTTTCAGCAGAACCACTTCCAACACACCATTAGATCAGCCATGGCCTTGGTAGCTGAGCCTTGAAAACCTCCAAGGATGGAGATGCTGCAGCTTTCCTGGGCAGTCGTCCCTGCTATACTACCCTTTGGTGAATTTTTTTTCCCTAGGGGTCCAAACCAAATCTTCCAACATGCAGTTTGTTGACCATTCCCCCTTGTGTATCATCTGGCACTGAAAAAAACCAGCCCCAAAACCCCAAAATAAACCCAAACAAAAAAAAAAACCCTAACTCCATCACCTCTGTAACTCTCTTTCACATAGTTGTAGCTGTGGTTGGCTCACCCCATAGCATCATTTTCACCAGACTAAATAAGCTCTGTGTCTTCCATGGAGTCTTTCCTTGTAGGCCATGTGCTTTAGTCCCCAACTTCAATTTCTCCACATCTCTCTAGCGGTAGCTTCTCTAGAGATAGCTTCAGTTTCTCCACAACCCTCTAGAAGGGCAGTGTTGGGAAGCCAAAACTGGACATGCTGCTGCAGGTTCAGCCTCACCAGCACTGACCAGAGGAGGATAACAGCCTTGCCAAACCTGATGGCTCCTGATGTAGCCCAGAAAGTCTTTAGTCTTATTTACAGTGAAAGAACAGCTCTTACTTCACTGCTTTCTAAGAGAGAGTTTTCTGTGTTCTAGTAGAAGAATTCAAAAGCAAAATTTTTCTTGAGATTGAAGGGAAGCATTTTCAATTTCTTGACTAAAACTGTCAGACTGTTAAATAGATTAATAATCTCTTAATTACATAGTGAAGCAGTGGTTTTGAGTAATCAGCAGCCTCAGAGTGGGAACTGGAAGGCAGCAAGATACTTATTGTCTTGTCTTCACAGTTGTTTAAAAGCATTGTGGTGTAGCTTTTAATGCTTCTATTTTGTGGCCTTTTTTTTTTTCAAGTGAAGATAACCAGGCCAAGAGGGAGGATGATGCTCTGGCCAAGTGGGTTGCAGATCCTGCAAATACAGCATGGATGGAAAGTAAGTATCAGTAAGTGATGAAGTACAACTATAGAAGAAGGTCAGTTTTAAGTTGTGATCAACAGTATGTGTGCATCTATATGAACATACATATTTTACAGGAATGCCCATGTTCACTTTTATTGTATTTTTTCAGATATGTTCCAGAACCGAGTTATACCAGTTAAAACATTCATCAGTGTAACAATATTGTGTATTTTAGAATAAAGTTAACATTCAGTTTTCCATGGGGTGCTTTTTGGAGTCTGTGGAATCATTCATCACTGTCTTAAGGAAATCATTTAGCTCCATCATGTACAGTGGAAATTTGCTCAAGTTGAGAGTCTGCTCTGTGGCTGTGTATGAAATTGTTCTGATGCAGTAATTGGCGAATAAGTTCTTGGAGAAGGTGGAAGGGAAGGAATTGCCACTTTTTCTCAGTGTGTGCCCTTGGCTCTTGCCTGGCAGCTACATTTTAAACCAGAACAGAGGCCGTGTGGTTTGAGGACAGGTTGTCCTGCCTGTTCTCAGCTGTTCTCACTGGGCTGGACATTCATCTTACATGTCATTTGAAGTGACTGAAGAATTTGCATCTTTGTCCTGCCTCTTAATGTGCTACAATGATCATTACATTATTTAGTTTTGTTTCTTTTTAAAAAATGTCTATTACAGCTTCTCTAAAGCCATTTAGTAAGGCACTGAGTAGCCCTCAACAAGCACAGAACATACCATAGTGCTGTAAAAAGGAGGGGGAAATGTTGGGTGTTGAAGTTGATTTCTGTTTTCAGGCTACCAAAGGTCATCATAAACAATGCAGATAAACTGTGAAATTTCAGAAATACCTTATACTGGTTTTGTGCATTATTGCATTATTTGAATGATGATTTAGATGCACTAGCAAAATGCTAGTGGAGAGTGAGTCATATCTCCATTTTATTTATATGTCCCAATATAACCAAAATTCTTTAGAATGGAATAGAACAGAATATTTCAGTTGGAAGGGACCTACACCAATCATCTAGTCCAGCTGCCTTACTACTTCTGGGCTGACCAAAAGTTAAAATGTGTTATTAAGGGCATTGTCCAAAAGCTTTTTAAACACTGTTTGTTGGTTCCATTCAAATTTTAGGGGGTTTCTAATTTTTTTTTTTTTCTGTTTTGCCTTTAGACCCAGATGAAGTAATTTACGATGATGTGCCAAGAGAAAATTCAGATTCTGAACCAGGTTTGAGGTCTTTGTGTTACAGACCACATTGAAAGCAATGTAATATGGAATTATGTGCATGTATACTGAATAGATATGTTCATTAAGTACCTAAAATATGTGTAAATGGAATTAACACTGTGTCAATAATCAGTTCAGAATTTCAAGTTAAGTTCAAATTAAGTTCAGAATTAAACTAACTCTTGAAAGACTTTATCTCAGCAGGTCTCCTATGCTGCTCTTCTTAGAAGCTGAATTCTGCTGTGTTCTATAGATACTGTCCCAAATTCTTGAGTCTTCTGTATATTAGAGATTTACAGTGTTGGGTATTGTAGCTATAGTGACCTAAACAAGGCAAGGAGGGTAGGAAAAGGGTGTTTTAAATAGTTAAATAATCTATGATAATGCATCGTTGTCATGGTGATACAGAGAACTGCTCTATTTTTGAAAGTCCCGCTTCAACATAAAAGTACCTGACAGATGGAAGAGGAGATTCAGCGTGGCTATTTACCACCCTGATTATGACTCTACGGAAATATTTTATTTCAGCTCTGGAGTGGTCCAGCTCCTGATGGTGTGACCATGTTTGGAAGGGGCAGAATAGATCTTATAGTAGTTGCTGGAGCCAAGATTTTACCTTTACTGGGAATGGTGGAGCTAGGGCTCAAGAATCCTACTTCAATGAGTTCTCACTCAGATTTGTTTTACAGCTTCTGGTTATTGTGAAGACTGTGCTTAAAGCTTGGTTGCTACTAACTGATTTTATGTTCGGGTGGATCGGCTTATTAGGAACTTGGCATCTACTTGTCATGGCTCTCGGAGAGTGTAGGTGTTTGATGCTGAAGTTGTTAATGAGTCAAGAAAACACTTAAGCTTTCATGTGTGACACATCTTTAAAGCTCTAATATTTTCATTTCTTGTCCTTAGTGGTCTTCAGTCAAGGTGTTTTACAAATTATTACTCAAATTTGTTTCATTTATTATGTGAAAGTATTGTGTTATATTCATGACTTGAATGTTTCTGTTACTGGAAGGTCCTTCAGTGGACTGTGCTGCTCTGGGCAGGGACATCTTTGTGCTGTGGCTGCTCAGTCAGGGAACACATACACAAAGGCCAGGAGGCTGAGCTGGGGAGGGATGTGGGACATGGAGCAAAGCTCTGCTGGGCATCTTGGTCGGAATTTTCAGCTTAACCCACAAGATACTAAGTAAAATTTTGGCTTTCTGTTTGTCCCCAAAGACATTGAAAGTTTCTGAGAAAATAGTTTGTGAGGGAAATTTCATCTTTGAACATTCGTGATCTTGATGTTTATTAATTGTATATTTTGTCAGGGAGACACAACTGTTCCAAAAAAGTCACAGTCAGAGCTCAGTCTACATTAGCACAGGGACAAGATATGTCCACCAAATCACTGGGTATAGCCTACCCCGATACTGGCATTGCAAAAGTTGAACTTATATAAGTCTTGACTTATTTTGACTTACTATGACAATTCTCTTAAATTATTCATTGTGCTAGATAAATAAAAAAAAGACACTAAAATATCGTCTTCAGTAAGTGTATTTTAAGGACAATCTTGATATTCATGGAGGTTTGAAAAAAAAAATTGTTAAAATTTGATTCTTCCAAATTAGAGGAGATTCAGCTGTGTTAATTCTGAAGAATTTAATTAATGTTAATACTAAAATTTTATTATTGCTCCAAATGTAGTTTTTAAATCACAGAATCCAGGGTTTAGATGAATGTGTAAAGTATGTCAACTTTTCTTTTGAGTGCGTATTTTTTCTCAATTTATATAAAACTTCAATCTTAAAATGAAAACACAACTTTTGTTTACGGAATTGAATATGAGACAGTTTTAAATGAAGCATTATAATCTCTGACAATAGCAATCCCTGGCAGAAGTGTCCACACTTCTCTACTTGTAATGACAAATGATGCTGCATGTAGAGCGAATGCCTGTTTCCTGATAAGTAATTGGCAGTAAAAATTTTCATTTTCCTTTTTTTTTTTTTTTTTTGAGTCAGTTTGTCATATGTAACATCTGTGCCAACAAAAAGACCCGTGTCTTTAACAGGTGATACTTTGGTCAGCCTTTGCAATATAGCTTTCTATGTCTTGAAAAGGTTAATACTTCAAGCTCTTAGACTAGATTATGGGCAAGGTAACCTGCCCATATGGGATATGGGAGACTCCTAGTGACTGGTGGAGTTGCAAGAACGACAAGTCATAAAATGTCATAGTGTAACATGTTTCTTGCTACTTTGGTCTGATCTGTTCTGCTTGAAGTAGTGACATTTTCGTTTGATTCTTGCAATGTTTTAGCATTTGTCATTTGAGCTGGTGATGAAGATGTTCCTAGGGACAAATGGCAAGCTTGCATAGGGAAGGAGGCTTCTTCTCAGTGCAGACATGTGTTCACAGCTGCCGTTGGAACTTCTTTTGAATTTCTTCTAAAACTTGTAGGATTTGGGCAAAACAATGTAGTTTGAGTAGGGCATGTTTTTAAAAGGATTGTGGTGTGTACCCATAATGCTGTCCTCTTTTAGTAGTCTGTTTCAACAGAGACAGACCACTTTGGTTGTTTGAATACTGGATTTAATTCACATTTTAAAAATGTGCATACAAAAGTCTGTATAGTTCTTTATAGTGCATCCTGAACAGTTTTTTGGTGTTTGAACAAACTGAAATTTCAGTGTAGCACTTTTTATTTTGGTTTAATTCTTGCAGAGGAAATGATTTATGATGATGTTGAAAACGGTGATGATGGTGGAAACAGCTCGCTGGAATATGGGTGGAGTTCAAGTGAGTTTGAAAGCTATGAAGAACAGAGTGATTCTGAGTGTAAAAATGGAATTCCCAGCTCCTTTTTGCGAGGCAACCACAAGAAACATGTATGTATCCCGCAGTGCTGCTCAGTCATTGAGATTATCCTCATTTCCAGCACTTGCCCTTCTCACCTGTATTTCCCTTCTCCTCAATCCAGTTGCAAATGCCAACAGCACCTTTTTAAAGGAGACATGAATCAGTGTGGGAGTGACAGTCCACAACAAATTGTAACAGGGGAAAGAAAAGATTAAAATATTAAATGGAAGCTCCTTAAAACCAGAAAAAACTCAAATTGGATAAAAGTGAAATTAAAAATGACATTACTTTTGCTTGTGGGCAGTTCCTCACCTTTTCTTCTTTTGCAGCTGCTGGATTAGTGTAAGTGGTAAATGAGCATGGAAAATAATGTGAAGAAGAAATGGGGGTAAGCCTGACAAGATTTGAAGTTTTGGGATCCTTTAGGTGCTCAAAAGTCACAAAACCGTTTGCCAGTGTTCTCTACCTTTCTGTCTTAGATCTGTATCACTTCGGTTGTTTGAAGGTGACTGAGCTTAAAAAAAAAAAACACCTGAAAATAAAAGGTTTTTGTGATCAAAGAGAAGTCTGTACCATTTATTAAGGAGAGAAGAGAGGTGGCGTGATTAAAATAATGCATCTGTGACACATCTCTGGTCTAGTATCTTTGGCTACATTTGTGCTGCGGGAGGCAGGAGAACACTGACGGCATGGGTGCGTGCCCTCACTGCATCTTTCTGATTGCACATCAGGAGGATTCTCAGACTCCCATGCTCTTGCTTTTTTGGCTCCTCTCCTCCTGCCCTTTCTATGAGAGGGAAGTCTTGCCCAGGACCTGGGCAGCCTCCTGCTGCTGGTTGCCTGCTCTGAGCGCTTGGAGGATGGGGATGGGAGGCAGAGTGGGGCCAGGCAGGCCCAGGCTCGGTGCCCAGAGTCATTACAAAATCCTCAGGTCCCCCCAGTGCGTGCTGGCTGGTGATAGGCACCCAAGAGCCACTTCACAGCTGCATACTGTTGGCTGCTCCAGCACCCCGTGGCTGGAGGATGCAGGGGTAGTGGCCAGGGTGTTCTTCCATGGGATCCTTATTTTCATTTTGCAGGTTTCTTATCCGGATGAGAATAAGAGTCTCACTGTCCGTGTTTCCCTCCAGTTCACATTATCTGCTCTCCCCCCACCTCCATCTTTGCCGCCTGCCCTTCAGAAATCAGGGAGCGAGCAATTAACTGCAAGACTTGAGCCCACCCAGATCAGCACTTTGTAAGCTGAGAGCTCGTCTTCTGGTTTTGTTTTGATTTTTGTCCTGACTAGAACAAGTTTAAGTTGCTGCAGCTGTTTCTTTCTGGGGAGTTGTTTAATTAGACTGAAGAAAACCAAGTTTGAATTTTTTTTTTTTTTTTTTTTAATCCCTGTAAAAGAGACTGGGGAATAACTTTGAATGTGAGTGTGTAAGTCTTAACATGGCTGCTGCTTTGTTCTTTTTTTTTAATCTTTCCTGTTATCTGTAGCTTCAGCTTTGGCCATAGTCATAGGAATCTGTTTACACATGTGCACAAAGAAAGGTTTAAAGCCATTTTTTAAATGCTTGTAAGTATACTTTGATCTGTCACAGGAAACTGTTGGCAGGGAGTTGAGAGTTGATAGTGCCAGGATCAGGCACAGAGTGTCTGAGCAAGAGACTGAGGACTGGTGGGAGGAGAGAGGCGTGCTGTGGGGTAGTGCCCTGCAGCTGGCTTTTCCAGGCCTGGGACAAAAGGGTTTGAGGATTGCCTTGTGAGGGTGAGGATGAGGAGCCTAGGAACACATTAGTTGGTGGACGGAGAAGTCAGAGGGGCTGCTGCACCTGGATGGGTTACTGGGAGGTGGAGAAGTCAGGAAACTAGAGAAGGGGTTTGGCAGAGGATGAGGAAGGACAGAAACTTTAGGATTGCTGAGAAACCATTCAACTTTATACCTATTCTCTGTATCCATTCCTTGCACTCTAACTTCTCCTCAGGTCTTGCGATGGATGTTACAGTATTTTCCCAGCACATCCTCTGTAGTCTTTCAGAGCCTATGAGGGACTTGCCTTGCTTATTATTTTTTCTGTCTGTTGAAAAGTATGGGAAGGTTGGAGGTGGGAATTTTAATTGTAAGTGCTGGTATGACTTACCTCAAAGTCACTTTTTTATTATGACTTTTGATTATTTTTTATTTATTGATTTTAAGATGAGAAGGTTTTTGTGCTATTAAATATTTCTAGTCTGTGAACCAGATGCTGTTCTTAATTATATTGCTGTAATGCCAGAATCATCATGTTGGAGGTAATCACATCCTGACCCAGCCTAGAGGAGTTAAGTGCCAGACCTGTCCCTTTGTTTTCAACTCTGTAGACCTTCTCTTTCCTGATACTTTCATCTCTTGCCAAATAACTCTTGACATCAAGCTGAGGGTTTTTCCATTGGACTTCTATTATCGGGCACACCCTGTATTTTCTTTTTTTTCTAGTTATGTTTTAACCTCTTTTATCTGGCTTTCTCAAAATGCTTAACAAATGTTACTTAGTATTCCAGAGTATTTCTCTGGCATAGTTTCCTTACCTTGCAAATGGATATATTCATGTACAGGATGGTTACACCCATGGTCATACAATGAGGGTGTGATAGAGCTGAGGAAAAACATACGCTTCCCGATTCCCATGCACTGGGTAATTACAAGACTGTGCGTCCTCTCTGTTAGTGTCTCCTTGCCCAACTCACTAGCACTGTTGTTCTCCATACTCTCAGCTGCCAGCAACCTCTGCAGGCTTTTCAGCCTTTGAGAATTCTTCCGATTCACTGTTTGGAAGGATAGTCAGAAATATACTCATTAGGGTTTGTGCTCCACTGAATGATGCTTGTGGGTGAAGTTGATGCGTTGTTTCCATATGGTTTGTAAGAGGTGTGCACAACATAATTAACACGCAGTTAGCTTAGACTAAGCGGCTTTGTCCCTTTCTGTAAAGAGTTGCCAGCGTAGCGCAAAGGTGCCTGGCCAAGTTTCAGAAAGTACAGCGATGCACAGGAGTGACGGTCTATTCGTTGGGTCGGAGCCTCCCTAAATGATAATTTTCCCTTGATTGTGTATCAGCAGGCGGAGCGGGCAACATGCATGATATACGCGAGTACTGTAGCATGAAGTTTGCACTGCAGGTTTTTTGAAAAGACTGTGTCTTTTTATACACTGTAGCTTTCTCATGACCTAACGCGTTTAAAGGAGCATTATGAAAAAAAGATGAAAGATTTGATGGCAAACACTGTGGGAGCAGTAGAGATTCAGCAACTAAAGCAAAAACATGAGCTGAAGGTAGTGTAGTTGATTTTTGTAACTAGCTATGTTTAAATGATTGCTTTTTCCAACACAGACAATGTTGTCTTTTTCTTTTAACAATAACTTGAAAAAGCAGGCAATAATTTGTATGATATGAGTCCTAAACGTGCTGTATTATTATGCAGTTTTTCTTAAGAGTACTTCATCAAGGACATTTTCTCATGCTTATTTTTAATGGTAACAGTTTCAGAAGATGAGATAGGGCATTGTCCTTCCCTGCTGACTGGTGCCCTTATCCCAGACCATGAGCCAGGCATACAGCCCCAGCACCTGCCTGAGACCCAGCTGAGCTGTGTAGGGCTAGCCTGGCCCTGGCTCTCCCACCATCCGGGATCAAACTGTGGGAGTCAGAATCTCGGTGCTCTCCATTCTGAATGGAGCCAGTATGAAAAGGCTGGGTTTTTACTAAAAACTTTGGTTCAAACCGAGAAATTGCCTGATTGCAGCAAGACAGCTTTGTTTGTGTTCTGATGTCAGCACAGCTCTGACAGTAGTGGAGATTTTTTGCTGTGGTGGCATTTTGGGAAAGCAAAAGTACAAAGTTTTTTTTTAATATGTCCTAGCAAAACAACACTTTGGGGTTTTTTTTTTTGCATGAAATTTTTTTGCTGTAGTAGTGTACTACTATAAAATTATGCAATTTGTAATTAAATCAACTTATTTTTTCAATTAATGAAATTATTGTAACATTTTCTGCAAAACAGTGTTTATATAAGAATATAGCTAATACAGAACTGAGTCTAGGGCATTGTCTTTAGGTCAGAAATACTTTGACAGAGTTAGTGGGACATTGGAAGATGGTAAAGAACTTTGTTAATGACCTGTTCGTAGTATTATTTGTTATATAACGTAAAGCTGAGCATTTGAGACTATTTTGAGTTCAGATGTTTGATGCAGAAGGGTTCTTAAACATTTCTGCTATTTTAGGCTTGCATACAATATTGACGTAAAGTAAGTCCCTTTCTCCAGGTTTGATTTTGTTAAGAAAAAGTACAGGTGCTCAGATCTGAGCTTTGATGGATCTGTGTACTTACTATATGTTCCTTTGATTTTTGGGCTATATTTATAGCCTAAACTACTTGACAGTATTCTTTTTAAAGATACTTTGATCAAAAGTATTCTGTGTGGTATGCTCAAATGTGTTCCTATTATTCACTGAACATGTAGACTGTACGTTTTATCTTACAGATGCAAAAGCTTATGAGAGCTGCTAGAGAAGGTACCAAAGATGGGCTCGAAAAGACAAAGGCAGCTGTAAAAAAGGGTCGTTCTTTCATTAGAACAAAATCTTTTATTTCTCAAGGTATGTGCCATTTGTACTGTGTTTGTTACTCTCTAGTCATTTCTGAGAAAGAAAGTAAATAGCCTAGCAGGTTTTTGTACTGGGAGCAGAGTACTGGATGCATGAAAACAGCTTTATATCAATAAAGTATGGTATAATATTCAGTTCAGATGACAGTGTGGTCAGTGCATCTTGAGTAGTTTTAGGTTTGGGGCAAGAACCTGAGTGACCTGAGAAACCTGAGGACCACAGAGAAGGGTCTACTTAACAACAACAACAACAAATCCCACCAAACAGTGTCATAGGTGCTATATAGGTATTGGTATATGGGAGTATGGAAATTATGTTAAGGTACTAAGTCTGTTCAGTTCCCTCCATCAAGGAACTCCTGAATGTCAGGCAAGTCTGCTGTTATGACATGGTTTTCAGTGGAGTGATACCTGACTATTTAAAAAGTTTGTTGTGGCCAAGGGATAACAAATGCTTTCCGTGCTTAAGAGTGGATGTAGGGGGAGAGACTGTTCTGCTTTATCAGTTTGGTGATTTTTGAAAGCTGTGACTTTGGATTGGGAAAACAAAGTGGTCTAAAACCAAAAAGCTAAAAGTATTTGTGTTCTTTCTCTAGTTAAGAACAAACGTCAGCACTCCATCATGAGCCTCAGCAGCAGCAGTCCACAGTTAATTTTTTGCAAGAGGCAGGGGGTAGTAACTGAATACAAACCTATTTCTTCTTCAGGATAAGTCTGAGAGGTGGTATGTCTTTCTGCTCAAGTTTCTGCCCAACTAATTGAATGGTTGTACCTTCAGAGCTTATAAAACTGCAATTTTAGGAAGCTAAAACCACAAGGCTGGAACATGACATTTTTAGTGAGTGAGCTAACATAAAGCTGCATCCCATCTGTAAGGACCAGGACACATCTTGCATCCCTGTCATGGCCTCTAACTGCTTCTGAACTCACCTAATTCACAGACAGAAAATAGAAAGTTATTTGCACAAAGTTTCGTGATCAAAAATATACCCTCAACTTCTTGCTGTTGCACAGGAGAAGATGATCTGCTTCAGCAGGGCAGTGTTACAGTGGACCCGTCATTCCTCCTTACATTTCTAGAGGTTAGGTAGCAGACACAGGATGTCTGTGGAGGGTTTAATCCCTTAGCCACTTACCAAATCAGCAGAGAGCTAGGGCCAAATTTGTTGAATAAACTCATGAATTCTTCCCAGCCAACAGATCTGTTTCCCTTACTTCCCTTTCTGTTCTAAGACACAGTTTCTCACGCTGTTCTTTCTTTCTCTCTCCTTTCCTCGTGTCTGCTTGTTTGGCTGGCTGTGTACTGCCACCTATCACTGCATTTTGGTGGTGCTTTTTGCATAAAATTAGCACATAGGGAGCAATGCAGAATCCCTTACTCTCATTTCTGATGAAAGCCAACATTTTGGTACGTTTGGCTACTTATTTTAGTTCGGTTATGGAAGGGTGCATGGAATTTTTTAAGCTGGATCATATTATGGGTGCGTTTAATTTCTTCCCAAAGGTCATTTATTTCAAAACTGCTGGCCCTGGAGCTGCAGTCTTTTAACCCTAGTTGTCATGTCCTGCACTCTGGACAGCCCTGTTCCCCTGGTTGTGAAGAGGGAGTAGAGGTCAAGAAAAAGACGCATAGGCTCTCTCCTGCTGTGTGGATTTCAGGGTTTTGAGATACCTTTGAAAGATGTTTTGTATTAGAGCGCCTATCAGTGGTGGTATTTATGTGATTTCACAGGTGATACAGAAGTGCTGGGAAATTTGTTTGGTAAGTGAAAATAAGACTGCTGTGCAATTACTTTGCTTGGATGATAGGATCTTTGCTTGCTTTTTTTTTTCTTCTTCTTTCAACTACATATTGTAAAAGTTGACATTTTGGTTATTCAATTATTTGTAGATCATAGATCATCATGTCTGGAAGAAGAGGAGCTAAATTTATTTATTGATGTGGACTGCATGCATACAGAAGCAATTATGACTCCTATGCCTGAAGGATTATCACAGCAGCAGGTAGTAGGCTTTTAGAAATACAGTCTTCTGCCTCTTTTTTCCCCTTCTGCTCTACATGAATGGCTCCCAGGTGCCTTGCTCTTCAAATATATTGGCATTTAACATAAATTAAGTGGACATCAAATTCAGGACTGAATAAGTAGTTTTTTGCAAATTGGTATGTATGCATATAGTCCTGAATTCAGCCAGAGATGCAAAATGTTGGTTTGTGTTATAAAATTATCTATAATAATTATATTGTTTCACTACCTGAATACTTAAACTAGATGTGATGGTTTTGAGCAAAAAAAGTAAAGAGTTTAAACTTTTTTATTGAGTCAGGAGACATTGCTCCAGGTGCTCCAGGATTTCTATTTTGAATTTAGAGAACATCCTGTATGCTCTCTGAATCTTAAGGTTTCTCCTGATTAAAAAAAAAAAAAAACCAACCAAAAAAACAAACCACCAAATAAACAAAAACCTTGTCCCCAATAAAGTCAAGTCTACAGAAGAGCATAATTTACTGTTCTCCACCTCAAACTCTGTAGAAACCACTTCAAAAAACACTGAAATCAGCATCAGTTAGAAATTTTGGCTGAAAATAAATCCTGTGGGTTCATGATACTGTATTGTTATGACAAGTAATACCTATATAAGAGTTTTTAGCTTCTTGTGGTGTCAAGTCATGAGTTGGTCAGTACTTTCAGAAAATGAGCAAAAAACCAAACTAAGGGGCAGCTGAGGAGAGTGGTATAAGTTTTTTGGTTTGCTTAGTGACGTCTGTTTTTCTAATGTGTTTAGCACAGTGAAGTGGAAATCTTGTAACAATGCAGTTACCAACCTGTGTTACGTTACTGTAAGATTTCATTATAATGTAAGATCTCAGCATCAATCTGAATGCTGTCTTTTCCTTCTTTCCAAATAGGGGTTTGAGAGTTTCACTGTTGGGGTTTTGGGTTTGGGGTTTTTTTTTGGTATGTAATTAAGAATAAACGTACCCTCTTTTGGAAAAACAGAGCGCTCTTGGTTTGGAGCAAACTAGTAATTGTTGTGTAGGTCATGATACATGTTGCTTATCGACCCAGGAGGAGCTGACCAAGTGGGCAGGAATGGAGTTAGGAAAGCCAAAGCTCAGCTGGAGCAAGTGAGGTGTGAAGGGCAACAATGAAAGGTTTCTTATACGTGCCTCAGCATCAAAAGGAAGGCTAAGAAAAATATGGGTCTGCTGCTTGGTGGGGCAGGGACACAGAGCACTGAAAAGGCTGAGGTACTCTGTGCCACCTTTGCCTCAGCTTTTCCTGGTGAGGTTTGTCCTCAGGCCTCCAAAGCCCCTGAGCCTGGAGGCAGGTCCTGCTGGAGTGAAGCGTTACCTGCAGTTAGGGGGTGCTGAGGCCAGGTGGATATACAGGTGTCCGTGGGACCAGATCGGATGGATTTAAGGGTGCTGAGGGTAAGGCCTTTCTCTGTTGTCTAAGATCACAGTGATCAGAAGACTGGAAAAAAAGTAAATGTCACACTGTCATCCTCAAGAAGAGCAAGAAGGAGCATCCAGGCTGGCTTCACCTCAGTCCCTGCGAAGATGATGGAGCAAATGCTCCTGGGAGCTATTTCTGGGTTCGGAACGGCAGGAGGGTGGTTAGGAACAGCATACATGGACCAGAGTCCATTTGTGCCTGACCAGGCTAAGTCCCTTTGACATGGGCTTGTGGACAGAGGAGAGCAGAGGATGCTATTTGCCTCTGCTTTAGCAAGGCTTTCAGCAGTCTTCTGAAGTATCATTGTAGCCTGTATAGGTAAGATATCATTTGTATGGGTGGGCTAGAAGGTGGGTAGAAAACGGGTGAGGACACCATGCTCAGAATGTTGTAGTCCATGGTACAAAGTCAAGTGGGTGGCCAGTGTTAGTGGTGTCCCTCAGGAGTGGATACGGGGCCTGTGGTGTTTCATGCTTTTATTAATGATCCAGATAGAAGCTTCAGTGCACATTTGGAGGCGATACCAAATTGGAGGGGTGTGGCAGGCCATGTGTGGGAGGCTGGGGCTGCTGGTCAGCATGGCTTTAATGGGCTGAGGTTTACAGAAAAACTCGAGCTGCTCAAGAGAGGCCAACACAAGTCCTGGCTCTGGTGCAGAGCAGCCCTGTGCCATGGCACAGGCTGGGGGCCGGCAGACTGCGCAGCAGCCCCGGGCATCCCGGCTGGAGAGGGTGAGGGTCAGAAGCCCCTTCCAACCTGGACTGCTGCGACAAACCAGCTGACTTTATGAATGTGCTTGTTTTAAACAGCAGGTGGCACGATAGCTTTTGTTTAAAACCTGGTGCCTGTTTAAATATTATGTCCCTCGTTGGGTCTCAGTTGTGATAGCTTTTGCTTCATTTTAGTACTGGGACCTGAATACTCACGGTGAGCTGTTTATGTTTGTATGCTACTGTTACTAGCAAAATTGTGAATATAAATGTAAGACTTATATGCAAGTCTCTCATAAGTTGTGTGTATCTATTGCAATAACCTGTAGGCACTATTAAGTATCTATTTTGTGCATTATAGAGCCTGAAAAAAACCACTTTCTACAGATGTTTATTCTTTTCAGAAGCATGAACTGAGACTAAAAGTAGAGTTAGTATCCTTTACCAGAGCAGCTGATACATCATACCAAATAAGACACTGCTAAATCCATTCTAAACATGAATTAGACACAACTAATTTTACCATATATATCTTTAAGCAAGGCCTCAGATAATTTTGAAGTCTTCCTTTGAAACACCGGTACTTGAAAGAAGATCCTTGCATAACCTGCACTCAATAATGCAAAATACAAGAGAATTAAAGGCAGCCATGGTGGAAGAGGCAGTTGGCTGTGGGGATCAGGAGCAGAGAGAAGCAAGTCTGAGGCTTGAGTTTCATGGTCATTTAGGCTGGCTTAAAATAGCAAAAGGAGCAGTTTTGCCTTCCCTTGTAGTTGTGGGGAGTGGTTTGATCCTGCCCTTACGCTGTCTTCTCCCTTAGAGTCCTGCTTTTGAAAGCTCTGGAATAAGCTGGATTAGGAAGTGGATTTGGGTGAAAACAAATCCTTAAAACCAGCAAGAAATCTAATCAGTAACAGTAAGAAGTTTAAATTTTAAACCAAATAGATTCCTCAGTCCTTCCTGTCATATCATCTGCACATGCATACAATGTGCATTTCAGCTGAATTGCAGAAGCAGGAAGTGTGGAGAAGGAGGTGTGATAAATAGCCTGTAGTTTGTAAACATGAAATATGGTAATATTTCCTGAAGCTCTTACAACTCTATCAATTGGTATGAATATAGATGAGATGGGGTTTTCACTTATGCATGGTAATGCCAAAAAAGAAAGCTGACTTACTCAGATACTTTCTCAGTGGTACAGTTTATATGGCCTTACCTTAAAAAGGTAATTAATGTTTGCTTGTTTGTCCTTCAGGTTAGTCCTAATAAATTTATAAAACATATTTAAAAAAAGAAAATTAATCTTGAAGCTGATTTTGAAAACTGGTTACCTGTTTTTTTGCAGCAATTCACCAAAGTAGCCAACATCATCTATACCTATTATTATTTATATTAATGCCTAAATTTATACATCTAAAATTAAAAGACCAGTTTCAAAAGTAAATCTTGGAATTGCAACAGTCAGCAAAGGTTGTAGACATAGATACAATAACTGTTCTGTTCTTTAAATAATTTTAGAGTAATAGTAAATTTAATTACTTTTGAAGAGGTACAGTATTATTTTATTGCAGTTCCAGTATTGAAATTGCTTTGTGTTTCTTGTGTTTTATTAATGTGAGAATTTTATCATCAGCATTCCCATCTATGATGAACATGTTACCTGATTACAGCTTCAGACAAAACTTTGTTTCTTAACAGGTTGTGAGAAGGTATATTTTGGGCTCTGTAGTTGACAGTGAGAAGAATTACGTGGATGCTCTGAAAAGAATCCTGGAGGTACCTTAATATCTTTGCATTTTATAATTTGGGAATTTGAAAAATAGTCAAAGCCTTAAAGAATCTGTAGTATGACTCACATAGATTTTGCTACAGATGCTTTATGCCAAATGTTTAGAGATTTTGTGTGTGTATACTGTTACATAAGTTGTTTTTTTCTGCTTGTAGAAGACCTACTTTTTTGTTTGTTTGTATAAATCTATTTTTGTATTTTTTTTTTACCCACAGCAATATGAGAAGCCCCTTTCAGATATGGAACCAAAATTACTGAGTGAAAGAAAACTCAAAATGGTCTTTTATCGAATTAAGGAAATTCTTCAGTGCCATTCAATGTTTCAGATTGCGCTGGCGAGTCGTGTATCTGAATGGGACTCTGTTGAAATGATTGGTGATGTCTTTGTTGCTTCAGTAAGCAAATGTATCTGAACAGATAATCTGTTTTTATTTTAGGCTTGTTATTCCATTTCCATATCTCTCTAACTTTGCTACTTTATAAAGATGGGGACAAACTTTTTAGCAGGACCTGTAGTGATAGGACAAGTGGTAATGGTTTTAAACTAAAAGAGGGTAGATTTAGACTAGATAGAAGGAAAAACATTTTTATAATGAAGGTGGTGAAACACTGGCACAGGTTGCCCAGAGAGGTGGTAGATGCCCCATCCCTGGAAACATTCAAGGTCATGTTGGATGGGGCTCTGAGCAACCTGATCTAGTTGAAGATGTCCCTGCTCATTGTGGGGCGGGGGGGGAGGAGTGTGGGTGTGAGGGGTTGAACTAGATGACCTTTAAAGGTCCCTTCCAGCCCAAATCATTCCGTGATTCTATGATTCCCATATTCTCCAATGCCTGTGGCAACTTGTCAGGGTATGTATGATACCATCCTGGTAAGGAAGCTGACACCAGCACATCTTCGGCTTTGTTGGCAGATGTGAAAAGATTGTGGGCAAAATTTTCAGGCTTTGATCAAGTGCTCAGACATTTAAATAAACAGTTTCTTTTTCTGAGGAGATAGACATTCACAAACCCACCAAAATTAAGGTGAGATTGAGGTTCAGCATCTCTTAAAAAGTAGGTGGTTGTAGATAGTATGTTTGGGAGTAGAAAAAGACACAGTAGGTGATGTCCTGAATTCTTGGATTTGAACTGAGCCTGGGGCACAGGTAAAGAGTATTTTTAAAATACTATCCCACCCTTAATGGAAGTCCATTTGGTAAAGGACTGAACTAGCCACTGCTTTAAATTAGAGAAAACAAGAAGGCTGATAGAAGGACATTGTTCCCACCACGAGTGTGCAGATGGAAAAGGCTGCCTACCTGCTGGTTTGAGTACTTTGTTTTGTTGTCACCCAGCTGCTGGAAATTACCACCTTTTCATGCCTGCTGTAAGAGATCTGGAATCTGTGTCTCTGAGTGCTTTGACCCTGTTTCAGTCAAAATGAAACGGTTACTAAAGATTTGCTGTTTAAAGCAAACCTGTCTTGTTTTGACTGAAGCAAGTTATGTAGTGTTAATGAGACCAGTTCTGCAGAAGAGAGGGATAAAATTACTAAGGAGGCAATGGGCAGCAATCTTACCCTTCACATGGGTGTTTGCAGGCCGCACAATCTTTCTGCTTTCCTGGTAAACCCTTATCAGTGGAAGAGGGGGCATGAAGGCCCTGGGACTTGGCTGGTCCAGCAAATCTGGAAGATAAGCAGCAGTGAGGTGATCAGGGGATCCCAGCAGCCACGTTGAATCTCAGTGGATGCCCTTTGATTGCCCATAGTCCCCAGGCTCTTCCCTAGTGTCGTAGCCAAGATGAAGCTACTTCTGTAAATCTACGTTTTGTAATGTACAGCTGTTACATCTTTAGGTTTCCAACCTGTCTTCCACAGAAAGGTTATTTTGGGCATCACCAGTATTTCTGCAGATCCAGCTCTAGGCCAAGCAAAGCCCTTAGCTCTGAGCAAGGCGAGTCCTCGACAGTCAGAGGTTTAGGTAGTTATGCTTTCAGGGATCTTTTGTATTTATAGTTAAGGTTTACCTTTTTATGTTTTCAGTTTTCTAAATCTATGGTACTGGATGCGTACAGTGAATATGTAAACAACTTCAGTACTGCAGTAGGGATTCTCAAGAAAACATGTGCCACCAAACCTGCCTTTTTAGACTTCTTAAAGGTGAGTTTGTTTAATCTTAAAACAGCTGGGCATATAAATAAGACAGTAAAAATTGTAAGTTAAGAGGAAATTTGACTGCTGACACTGTATATTGTGTGACTCTTTTAAGGACTCTGGTTTTATGTTTTATGGGTTTGGCACAAGCAAATACCTAGAGAATCCACTACTGTATTTTCAGAGTAATAACATGGTGTTAGATCTAGGATGTATTTTGAAGTGCAGAGTGGGTTTGTTGTTGTTTACATCAGTTTATTGGTGTTTGCATGATTGTACTTGGCAAAACTTTGGGATTCTTTCATAGCAGGTGAGCTTCAAATAATAGTTCACCATCTGAGGCCTCTTCTTATTTGGGATTTATTTTACTTCTAACTTCTTTATTGTATTGTGTAGAGTAGTGTAACTAGACTTCCATTCCACAACAATTTCCTGGTATTTTGAAAATCATGTTTCCAATTTGGGATTGAAACTGAAAATTTTTGTGCAGAATGCATACTGCCCTGATGAATATGATGCTTCTGATGACGTGCATTGAGACCCTGGTACATGCCGTAGAAGTTCTGTGAATCCCTACGGATGATACCTTGCAGAGGGTACACAAAATCCATTGCGGGGCTTTTAGGGTGTCTGTGATACTGCTGAGAGCCTGGAAGCTCTGCATGTTCCATTCCCCTAGAGTCCTGGATTGAGTCGTGCCTCTCAGAGCTGTCACCCTGTCAGGTCTGTTGCAGTGGTCCACCAAACACTGAAATTGGGTGCCCTGGGCAAACTGAATGGTGAAGCTCTTAGGTTGCCTAGAAGAGGGTGGCAGGGGGGCTGATTCCTAATCCGTCTTCAGATCTTAAAATTATCTAATAACTTTTTGGAGTGTGGCCAGCACTACACAGGTTTATATTCTGGAAGTCTTAGGCACCACGAAGATCAAACTCTCTAGTGAGCATATAGTCGCTTCATACCTCACACCGTTAAAGGCCCGTTGGTTCCAGTAGAGGCATAACTTACACCTTTCATCACTGCTTGTCATTGCTGGCACTGGTACTGCTCAGAGCTGGGGACTGACAGCTGAACTATAAGGACAGAAGACATTTCTGTACCTTCCTTTTTTTGTTTGCCCACTAGCAGCAAAGACCAGAATCTTCACTGCTGCTGTTTGGGCAAAAAAAATGTTTGTGGAGGTAAGTATGGAAACAAATTCTTGTGAAGCTGATAGCTGTAGCAATAAATAGCAATTTAAGTACAACACCAGTTTAATATTGTTTGGGTTTGCTTTGTTTTTAATATTGAGTATATCTTGTAAAACAAAATTCTGGCCGAAATATTTCCAAATGCTGAAATGTCTTATACAAACAGGGCTTTTCTGTACATGGAGATGAAATTTGTCTGGTTTTATCTGCCAGTCCCAATAACCAAAATAATGGATTCTTACGTTTGTCTTTCCAAACATAAATCAATGTTCTTTTCCTTAGTTTCTTTTAATAAAGAAATGAAAATCTCTTTTTGTTTGCATAGCACTGAGATTATGATGTTTTCCTTAGATTTCCTTCTAAAAACACATAGGTAGTTAGAGATTTATAGTCTCTTAGCCCCAGGAAACAGAGCAGCAATAGTAAATTATGGACTGTAAATCAACAGATCACTTATATTTTTCAAATGTAAGGCCTTGAAAAAGTACATTCCCTTTGTTGTGCTTGAAGTTAAGCAGACGTTTCAGTGCACTGCTTATGTAAAAAGCATGAATGTGCTGTGTTGATATATACATAGGTTCTGCACCGCTGGTGCAGCTTTATTCCAGCTGTGTTTATTGAAGGAGGAGATTTCAGTTCAGTGACATGCCATCATTTTAAATAGTGATTTTTTTTTTAAAGGTTTAGTATTTTTAAATGAAATCTTTATAGTAAATGGGATCTTTCCAGTACCACTGTTACAATTAATGTAAATGACGTAGAAGAATTTTCAGGAAATGTTTTCCTTTCATTCTGTAACTGGTGGAAATACGCTCACGTTAGTGAACAGTGTGGCTTTCTTGCATTTCAGCAGTGCCAGGAGTCAAGCCCTGATCGAATTACACTGTATGGTTTAATGATGAAACCTATCCAGCGCTTTCCACAGTTCATTCTACTATTGCAGGTAAATAATGTTTACCAAAGGGATGCTCTTGTTGCATTCTTATGTGGTTTGCTTGTGGGATTGCATGGTAGCTGTCTTCTGCTGGAGGAGCAGTGGAAGTGACCACTGGATCATGGGGAAATAACAAAGAAAAAATTTGTGCATCATAACGTGCTGATCTTGTAGTCTAATTGCAGGGACAGGCAGTAAATAGACTGCAGGAAAATCTTAGTGAACTAGATTTACTCTAGATTACTTACTAGGTTGGATTTAGCTTTTAAGTCACTTTGCAGTAAAGCTGTAGTTCAAATGTGCTACTTGTTCATTTCAGTTTGTTAGCTAATAACACTTCAGAACACCACCAGGAACTTTGTGGCATTACTTTCATTTAAGAAAAATACAAGAGGATGTAATTCATGCCTTGGATAGTTCAGAATATATGTGGGATGTGGAACAAAAGCGCTCTCTCCCTGACTACTCGACCCACAGGACCTGCTGGAGTGTGTTGCAGCTTCATTCTGACCTGCAGCATCTTGTTTTCCTTCCCATGGAAACTGAGGATTTGACAGGGAGTCCTCGGGTCTCTTCTTAACAGGGAGTCAAGCTGTAGGAAGAGCACAGTTCCCCAGCACAGACTTGCTCCAGACCAACTTACACTGTTTGTAACTCCTTCCAGACCCTGGCAGGTCTATCCCAGTGAGTGCTACGATTTAGCTGTGTTTTGCAGGTGCCACAGAGGAGGACAGGCTTTGGGATGCAGGTCCAGGAAGTACTGAGGGAGATGGAGCAGAGGTAGTCGTGGGGGGAGCATGCAGGTAGCTAGTCATGGCAAGAGTTTTTGAGTTAGCAGAAGAAATGGAGTTTATTGCGGCAGGAAGCTGTAGTGAATATGTAGGGATTTTTAAGTGCTGTGGGAAAGAAGTAAAAATTTCATTCTAATTGTTACACTGCATGCCTACAAAAGGGAAAGATTTTTAGAGGCTCTTGCAACCTCCATGAAGTAATGTCCCCTACTTTGGGACGAGTGCGCTGTCAGTGTTTTAGTGGGAATAATAACAGTAATAAAGATAATACAATATTATTATGATAGTAAATATCAGAAAAATTTAATTTTAAATCATTGTTTACAGACACCTACCTATTGTACTATAATATTGATTTTCAAATTGTGCTTAATATTATGTGCATTTTTTAATTTACCTTTACATTTGCATTTTTACACTTATTTTCAAGTTCCTTTGCTGTAGTTTCTTCCTGTAAATAAGCAGTATGTGACCCATTCAGTATCTGTTTTAAGAACTATTAAGGTATTCAGGAAAATAAGCAGTGTGCTGTCTGAATATTCATTAGGTGTTCATTGGTCTCATTCTTTAGTAGTACTTGGGTAAAGAATGTAGCAATAACATTGTATCTTGTAATCTTTTGAACTTGACTTTGAAATTAAATTTTTTTGTTGTTTTTTCACTTCACCTCAGGATATGCTGAAGAACACTAATAAAGGACATCCTGACAGATTACCTCTACAGATGGCTCTTACAGAACTCGAAACACTGGCAGAGAAGTTAAATGAAAGGAAAAGGGATGCAGATCAGCGCTGTGAAATAAAACAAATAGCAAAAGCAATGAACGAACGTTATCTGAACAAGGTTAGGAAGTAAGAATGTGTGATGGAAGAGTTAGTATATTATTAGTTTCTGGGCCTTGAGGAATCTTTAGAACAGACACCAAAAAGACACCTGAGGTTTTTCTGTGGGGCCATTCTGGTGGTAGGTGCGAGATGTGAGCTACCTCCAGGACTTGGTAGGCTCACTGGTTAAACCACTGTGTGCTGGAGCAGGCAACATGCTGAAATAGCAGCAGCAGCAGTAGTAGTGTTCTTTGGCAGCGTATAGATAAAGCTGTTTCTTTGTCCTGTAGTGAAGTATTGTACGCATCTTCTGATTAAATTCAAAATTAAATTTTGAGTTTATCCTGGAACTGAGGAACTACTCCTGTATAAAGGAAGGAACCACTTCCGTATGCTGCAGTGCTTCTGACTATGGAGCAGTTCAAGATATGCTATTGAATGTGTCCAACATCTTCCTTGTTTTAAGGAACATCCCAGTCTATTTCATTCATGTATTCGGATCATTCAATAGAAATGTGTTTAAAGAACCGTAGAAGACATTCAGTAGGAAGTAACAATCTTCTTCATTTGAGTTTGTCAGTAGCTATCTGTACCGTGGATGTATGTATGTATGTCTTATTTGTGTCATACATGTTTCCTCCTTTCCCATGAGGTAGGGCATAAATACTTCAGTTATTGCTTTTGTGAAGTTACAGATGATTATACTGGGTTCATTCTGGGATGGAGTAATGGGGACGTGCTGAAGGAGTATTTTTGTTTGTGATGCATAAAAACAGTTTTCAGGAAAGAAAGTAGTCAACCAGAACACACTTGTTTTAGGCTATTTATAAAAAAATGGGATACTGAATTTATTGTCATACTGGAACAGCATTTCCATTCTAAGTGCATTTAGAAGATAGATTCAGACATTTCATTTTCTAGTTTTCGTACTCCTACTTCTTGAAGCAGCTACTAATCATCTACAGATGGTTGAAGGAGTTCAAGACACAGAATGTGCATTTCAAGAGGTGGTACAGGTTTCCTTTTCTTAGTCTATATAAACTGTAAAATCTTGTCTGTTCTGTACCAGGGGGACAAATTGAGATATACCTGGATAGTCACCCCAAATTACATAGGGCCCTGTGTGCCTTGTGGCTTACTAGTTTTGGAAGAATGCCAGGCAGGGTGAAACAGGTGGCGAGGGAGGTGGATGGATAGGAAATGGATGAGTTACAGACCATTTTGTTTTCTTGGCTGCTACAGAGGTGTATTTGACCTGTGAGGATTCAGTTCATGCTTGTACACAGTGCTGATCCTCAGCCCTTGAAGGCAAATGGCAGGAGCAATTTATATGCCATAAATCCTTTGTACATGTTGTCTTCTTGGCAGCCTGTGGAACCCTGCCAGCCGTGCTCCTCAGCTAGTTCTGCGAGCCCAGGTGGACAGAGCAGGCGGGAGCACTCCTCCTCCTCCCACCCCGACTTCCCCCTTTGGGATGGCTGGGACTGTGCATAGCACTTAAATGGGCTGTGAAAGAAGGGATGAGGGAAGGAAACAACAGAAACTGTGAAAGCTATGATTTTTTTCGCTAGGGGACCTTTATCAATGTGGAAGACTTTGAGAGCAATTCCGTTCCATATTAAGACCGAAACCCCCTGCAGGCCATATTGCCGGCAGCAGAAGTTAGTGTTCGTCTAAATGAAAAGCAAATCTGTGAAGAAGCTTAATTCACTTGGCAAATCCGCCTGTGTACACTTGTACTAGGGTGGCAAGTGATAACCTGTTGTATTTTCTTTTATTTTTTGCACCAGCTGTTAGGTGGATCATGTATAATATACAATGTTGATTGTTTTTAAAATCTAGCTACTCAGCAGTGGAAACAGATACCTCGTACGGACTGATGATATGGTTGAGACTGTTTACAATGACAAAGGAGAAATTATCAAAACCAAAGAACGACGACTTTTCATGTTAAATGATGTGCTGATGTGCGCAACAGTAAATATTCGGTAAGACGTGATTCATATTTTTTAAATGATCACTCAAGCTTCAGCTGAAATAAATAATCACTGAATCTTTTTTTATTGTTTTTACTATGGCTAATGATTTCTAGCAGTAGTCATAATAAATGGATAACTAGCTTTCTTACAGTCCTCTAAATTACCTGCTGATGTTTGGAAGTTCCAGAGTAAATCTGTAAGAAAATTATACCAGTTGGAGATTACAGCTAGAAATGCTCTTCAATGTCTAGTTATTGCTGTGTATTTAGTCTTTAGCAGAGTGCAAGCATGCCAAGGTAGGATTTTTTTTTCTCTTCTTTAAATTCATAGTCACACACACAAATCTGTAACTTGACACAAGCTGCAAATTTAAAAAAAAACCCACAAAGCTAATGCATGTAGCCAGAAAAAACTGGAACTCACTACCAAAGTTCCAGCTGTGGAAGGGTTTTTATCTCTGAGACCAAACATTGAAGAATTAAAGCTGAGGTGCTTTGAAGAAAGCATTTTTTCATGGTGCCTTCTGTGTTTTAGTTGGCTGTAATTGTTACTTGTTACTATACTTCTGTGTATGCCAAGGTCACACATTTAAATGTTGCTTGTATCATAAATGACTTCATGTGATGGTACATTCTGGCAGAGAAAATGTGGACCATTAAAATCTTCCAAGAACAGCTTTTCTTAAGCGTAATATGAGTTGATATCTTAGTTCATTACTGAAGTATGAATACGGTACATATTTTTGTAATCGTGTGAATGCTTGGTCTTATGTCAGTGAGTGAGAAGTGCCATGTAATAACTACACTTCAGAAGATGCACAAGCTTATGTCCAATTATTGTAGGAATTGCAACATTTTACTCCTTTACAGTTTATTCATTTCTATAGTAACACCTGGGTATTTTCTTCAGATTGTTTGGGAGAAAATTGCTTTTAACCATTTTATCTTTTCCATGACATAATTGTCTTGGATTTTTTTGTAATTGTCCTTCAGGTGGCAATGTGCAGTCTGTTCTTGTTTTCCATCTGAAAAGTTCATGATTACGCCAAGTCTCTGGGTTCCTTATTAAGTCAACAGTTCTGGTTATCAGTAACAGCACTGTTGTTCCAATGGGCGTTAACTGGTTCTGAGCAACCTCCTTTGGGGTGGTAACTGGGCATGCATGTGTCATGGGGGTTTGCTAACTGTGAAAAAGTTTAATTATGGTTTTCTCTAGCAGTTAAGGTTTGCTTTCCAACCCACTTATTTATGTAACAGTGGGGTTTTAGAATAGTTGAATGCATTTCTGGCTTTATTCACTAGCAAAAAAAGTTTGTGGCTTCCTTGGAGTGTTCAGTTGCAGGTGGGTCCCCCTGCAAGCTGTGTGTGTGGATTAAGGATTCCTTCATTAATTCACGGACTGCTCTTAGATTTTTACTGCAGAAGGAACTACCTTTGTCATGCAAAATATAGTTATGGACTGAAGGAAATCTACTGCCAAATTTCACGTATGACACCTGTATCCAGTCCAGAATTTTTGGTTCAAAATAAGTGTATACTTATAGAATGTACAGCTTGCTTGTTGGGCTTATGTAGGATGAGCTTTATGTCTCTTCATTTTAGCTGTATAGAAGTTAGGCATCTTACCTAAGCTAGGTTTCTGTTACAGTAGTGATTTTCAAGGCGCATGCCTGCAGATTTACCCTGGAGCTGTAGACTTCTTCAGAAACTTGACCCTTAGCTGCGCAGTATGTATCAGCTCACTTTTCTTAACCACCTTTTTGTCCAGCCTTTACGGAAAAAGTCAGATGTTCCAGGATCCTGGGGACCATTGGTTCCAGATGAATTTTGTATAGCTGTCAAAAGACATGTATTTCTACAGAGTACATGACCCTCAGAAGGTCCTTCTTCACACGTAGTCTAGGTGACCATCTCTAACTGGAAACCTAACTTTTAAGTAGCAGGAATTGGACAGGGTGGATGCTGTCCCTAGTGAGTGAACAGCTGTGTCCTGCCTTGTCTTGTTTTCTTTCTTCTGAACTAGATGAAGAGTTTAGGAATATTTACTTTAAGCTGTGGCACTTGTGGGTTTTGTTCATACTTGCCTCTTGAATGAAACAAAAGTATGTTTGTGTTGTGAATAGGTAGCTGAGTAGCTGAACATCCGTGTTAAGGTACTGTTCACAATAAATACTTTTTGCTGATTTCTCCCAAGCATTTAACTTCTTTATTTCAGTCATGCTTTCTGTGAAGTAAATGGGTTTTCTTCACTTTAACATCTCTTCTGACCTTTATAGTAAGTGTGTGTTGTATGTGCTTGAATGTGAATAAGGGAATGAAGGAAACAAAGGAAAAGGAGTATTAATGCCATTTCTATTCCAAGTGAGCTTCCTCAGCGTGCTGTTTTCTCTGAAAAGGCTGTTGTGATACACACTTCTTTTAGCAACAGCAGCTCGCGTGGGCTTTCTCTCAGAAGCCACAGCAGTTGCAAAAGTCTGCTGTAAAGACAACCTGGGCTGTGGGGCTCAGCAGAAATGTTGGCTTGTCAGCCCCTGGGAGGTTATGTTGCCCTTCCTGCTGCTAGTACTCATTCAAAGGTCCCATCATCCATATTTCCCTAAATGTAGCAGTTACTTCTTTTTAGCATTGTTTCAAGTGCTGTCCTGAAAGACAGCACAATCTAAAAGAATTAGGAAAGGATGGAGCTGTGGTATTACCCTAAGCACTTGTATAAGGATGTCAAAATGCATGTTGATCTTTAAAGATGGTCATTTATGTTTTGTTATAGAAATGTAGGGACTGTTGTTGGCAGTCCTATGCTGTTTGTAAACAAGATTATCTGCACCTGCATAGCTGTTCTTTGCGCTCACAGGAAAGGTCAGTCACAAAAGTCAGCCTGATGCATGTATTTGTTTGAAGTTGTGCATGGTACTCAGACTGATAAACAGCAGATTTTAGAAGCTAGAAGAATAAATAGGATGCCATGAAACATAGTTGCTTGTCACAGCAGTAATTTGTGCATCTTCCAGCTCTTCCTACGAAAGCAGTGGCACCGTGACAACTGGCCAGAGATACTTATTGAAGTGGAGCGTACCACTGGGACAAGTGGAAGTCATAGAATATGGCAGCAGCGAGGGCCAAGGAGAGAACTGCAGGTTTCCACCGCAGCACTCTGCTGAAAATGTTGTCATTAACTCTAAGCCAAGTAAGTGACAGGAGTTACTGACTTCTACGGACCTTGTTAAAATCCGTATTTGAATTTCAGTGGACTACTAAAAACAAAGCAAAGCGTTTTGTGCATGAAGACTTCTGTAACATGAAGAGTAATATAACCTCTTTCTTTGGAAACTAAGAATCCATAAAGTGATAGCCAGTCTCCTGCCTTGCAGTATGAATTACTTGTATTTGTCCTGGTTTAGTTTTATGCATGAATGTGTGCGGGCATGCAAAAAGGTGGTTTTGGTGTGGTGTGGTGTGCCAGCTGTCTCATGGTAGCTGGTCATGCTTATGTTCTTTATCCCATAGTTAAAGCGAGGAAGTTTCTCTAAATAAAAATGACCAGCCACCCCGTTGCTGTGGAGTAAGAGTCTGGGCACAAGTGGTTACTGCAGGGTAGAAGTTACTTCTCTCAAGCCCATAGTATCCCACCCCTCAAACACAGTAACAAGTGCTTCAGAAAAAAACCTTCCATTTTCATTTTAATTAATGTTTTTGAAACAATATACCAGTAATAATTTCCTCCTAGCCTCTCTCCAAAAACGACCTCAAGTTCTGAAGTTTGCAAGTTCTTTCTATGCTTGTTAATCCCTCCTACAGGCCTGCCAACTACCCTCAAGAGATGTATGAATTTCAAGAGTTTACTCAGTAGCTAGCATTTCATATATAATGAGTTATTTTTATATTCTGTATTTTGCCTAAATACTGTATTTTTAAGTGTATTTAATATATCTAGACTGTGATCCCTATTAATGGACTATAATATACATGGGTTTCAGTGCTAGCTCTGGGCATTATTTCACACTACATTTATTTAATATTGCACCCTTGGTCTCATGAATTTTCCCACAGTTGTCCTGTAAGGAGACATAAATGTTATACTTCAGAACGGTCTGAGGTGCAGCTGCAGCATTTAATACACCCCCCCCCCCCATATTCTCCCGGTTGGTTATTGTCAGGTCTTCTTGCTTCTCTCTTTGTAAATAGCCACAGAAAATTTTTGTAGGTACTTATGTCTCAATTTCAAGGATGGCTTCATTCTTGTAACTCCTCTTAAGCATTAATTGGCTTCTTAGACAATGAGATTAGAGCTCTTATGTTATCATTTACCAGCTGCTGTATACATGACCCCAAGAGGAGTGTATATAAGGGAGCGTGTTACTTAGAATTGGCGGTCCGTGTCGTAGGTGAGTGTGGGAGGAACAGCTTGTTGAATATTCCTACTGCAACTTTGTGCTGCAGCTTCACAGCTGATTAGACCAAATCCTTGCCTGTCAGCAAGATCAGATGGGGAAGTGGAGCATGAGGGGAGAAAGAAAAACCCTCACCCGAACAGTCCTGTAGAACCTACTTGAACCTCTTCGCTTTGAGGTTTCTCATGATGGCTGGTGACAGTATCACAAAAAAATGAAATGACTTTGTACATCATTTGTAGTCTCAACCTTCAGGTTAAATGGTACTCAATAGGTAAAAGATGAGCTGAACTAATTATTCTCTTGGTAAGCTCTGATCGTTGTATTAATTCAGTCTTCTGATAAAAGGGATCAAATATAAGAATTAAAAAGAACGTGAAGGATACTGGTTATACAAATGAATAAATCTTCTCTCAACTTTAATCAAATGTTTCTACCAAGTGATTCAACTAAATTGAATATAATCAGTCAAGAATGAGGAAGAACGTAGCCTTCGTATTTGTATGCACTGCTGTCTCTGCGCTAGCTGTTACTCTGAACACAGAGTTGTCCGAATTGGCCTGTATACACAAGTCTGAATATGCATGTAATTGTGTTAGTTATTCTGTAGAATTGTCCCCTTGGTTCCAGTCGTCTTGGCTGTTAAAGATTACAGAAGCTCAGAAAGTACAGCCTTCCTGCAAAGGGAAAGGATTGGTAAGACTTTGTGTAACAGTTCACTGTTGCTTGTTTATTTGCACCCACCAAGATGCTGCATTTTATAGTTGATGATGGCACAATCTTTATGATGGTAGTATCACATTGTTGGTGAGACTGTTGGGTATTTACCACAAATTACAAAGCACTACCAGCAAAATATTGTCATTCTCTGCCTTAAACTGCATGACTTCGCAGTCCTCAAAGTTGTGTTTCCCTCTGTTTGCAGAGTATAACAAGGAACTGCTGTGGTGAAATCCCAGTGGCGTCACAGAATGTGGTTTTAATAACATCTAATGATCAGGAACAATTTGGGATGCTGCAGGCAAAGTCTTGCTTCCGTGACGTAGAACCATGTCTCAGACCTTATTTGCAGCTTTCATTTCCAGTTTGTGGGAACTGGAGAGATGCAGAATAATGATGATTCTGTGTAAAAGTATTAAGTAGTGGGGAGGTCACCTCTTCCATTTCTGGAGAACTGAGAAAAGTTGGCTTGTATCAGCAGCACACCAGGTTAAGTACTTGACCCTGTGAGATTGATACTCTCACATTACTGCTGCAATTAGCAAGGATTCTTGATGGATTCAGGTTGTGTCCTTGTGAGGATTACAGATTATTAGTTACATTTCTCTTATCATGGCACTTCTTTTCTCTGCCAAAATCCTTTTTATGAGGAGGCAACTGTCATAAGTGTATCTCACTATTTATTATTGGCTAAATGAAGTTGGTGCTTTCAGCTTTCTACGACACTGCAAAAAAGGGTAGTATAGTTTAAAGATGCAAACTTTACTTTGGGTGCTACAGAGAGGTTAATAGCTGAATTTGAATTCATCTCATACAGGCTGTAATATGCAACTGCTGAAAGGTTGAAAGGTTTTATGAGTACATATAAATCAAGGGCATGCTTTAGTACTGTTCTAAGGTGGAAAGCAAGGGCTGTGTGAACTTGGTTTTCACTTGGCAAAATCATCAATTTGCCAAGTTCCGCTTTGCATACCAGTCTTCTGTCTCTGAATTCTAGAGGAGAACACATTTAGGGGTTGTTAAATTCCTTTTTTTTTTTTTAAGCCCTTTGTCTTTTGGCAGGAGAAACCGTGTGGCCTGAGGGTGTGTGGGGGAAAGCAAGAAAATTTTCCTGGAGTGTACACTGCTATGCTGCTCCTGTCCTTGATGTGCTTTTGCCTTATTCCTGTTGTTCTCCCCTAGCACCAAAAGTAGACTATGAGTTCTTTTAGTTATGGAGGAGGATTGAAGTCTCAGCTGTTTGGCAAAGTCCTTTATTTGTATGGTTTTAATATTGTTTCCTAGTGGAGTCGAATTATAACTTGGTGTTTGCTTCCTGTAACGATATTTAAAGCAGAAAACATTTCACATTCTCAGTCTTCAGAAAAAAACAGCATGTTTATTGGATCGCATTTCTCTGAGCAAATCGGGCAAAGTCCTTTTTTATGTATGGGAGTTAGTCTTGCTTGAAAGTCTGTGAGTATGAGTCTTTGGCATCCCAACTGGGCAGTTCCTGTGGAAGTAGTTATCTTAACTCTGTGTTCCAAAGAGGCCTGTTGTGTGAATTTTCTTATGTAGAAACATTTGCAGAAAGATGCAAGATAAAATTCTTCCCTAGTAAATCCACATACTGTTTCTGGTAGGCTGTTGCTGTTCTCTTCTCCTTCCCGATCGGTCCATGTGCAGAAGCACAGGCACATTCATAGTACTGAAAAGTTGAATTAATATAGGAAACGAGGAATATTTTCAGCATGAACACGGAGTTGTATATAGAATTA